GTAAGATGTGCTGCAGAGTCATCACTAATAAGGGATCATTTCCAGGGAAGTAGAAGTGCTAGAGCAGTCCCGGGTGGTTGATGGGCAAAGGCTCTCTTGTGGATCCAAACCTTGAAGAGATTCTATACCACAAAAGAAAGTCTCATTTTAAAAAGTGACAAGGACCACAACTAGAGACGTGGCAGTGTTTCACCCTCAGAGGCCTTGAGTACTGTTCCAGGCTCGTGATGGCACTGCCTTCAGGGAATTGCTGTCACCATTGATCACACCCAGCAGAAACAAAGCTAACATATGAACAAGTTGCAAGTATTACTCTCTCCTCAAACTAGGTAGAAACTGGAAATACCGTGAAAGGGGAAGGAAAGGAGAGGAGACCAAATCCTAACAAAGCTGGCCTAGAAGGAAATGTTTACAAACAGTGGCTGTAACTGTGCTAATGCTTGGTAAAGGAGCAGAATTTCATTAGAAACAGAAGAGACTAAAACAGGAAGCAACGCCATGCACATAAAAAAATGTATATAAGATATGATCAAAATACTGTGAAAAGTTAAATTTTTCAAAGTTTTTGAGAGTAAAAGATACTTGCCATTAATCCCTTTCAAAATACTCCCTCTTACTTTGAGCACACTTATCCAACCATTCTTGCCACTTTCTGAAGCAGTTCTGGAAGCCCTCTCTCGTATCTGTAGTTGCACTGTGGTGGTTGTCTTGTCCTGGACTGACTCGAAATGTTTGCCTTTCATGGTCATTTTGACTTTGAGAAGGAGCCACAAGTTGCGTGGTGCCAGATAAAGGGGAAGAAGAGACACTGTAATGTTTCCCAAGATTGCTGCTCGTTGAATGGCACCTAGCAGCAGCATTCACCGTATCTTTGATCACATCTTGTAAATACATGAAAGACATATTCCAGAACTTCTTCAGAAAGTAGCAAGAATGAAGGCATAAATGTATTTGAAGCAGGGGGTGGGGTATTTTAAGGGGAGTTAATGGCAATGTGTCTTTTATAGTAGTAATTTTTTTATTTAAACATTCTCTGTATATTTGATCACACCTTATACTTATTGGATTCTTAGGTTGGAATTTTTAAAATGCGAAGCCCAGGTAGTTCCTTACATATGTTAGCTGAACCCATTTTAAGTAGCCAACATTAACAAAAACTAACACAGTTGCTGAGTGGACTGATATTCCAAAATTGACGGAACAACTCTGTCAAGGACAGTCTATATTTCTTAGACTGTTGATTAAGATGAAATACTGCACAGCTAGAAAAATGGGAGTTTAGAAGGAACAGTCTCCATCTATTACCACTATCAGCATCAGATGGGGAAAGGCACTGGGAAACTTCATTTTGGACATGAGCAGAAGGTCCATCTTGTTGCAGCTACAGGGAGCTCTAAGTCCTTAGGGCTGCTCAGTTCAGTAAGTGAGGTGACTTGTGGGAGATCATGTTGTGTACATTCTGGCTACTCAAAGTAGGCATCATAGAAGTGATTTTCAGTATTAATGTCAGAGAGACATCTGTGGTCAGAGACTCTGTCCTATAAATAAGTACGTAAGTTTTCATAGCATCTGGTACATTCTCATGTTCATTGAGGTGCAAGCTCCACAGAAGAATGGAGACTAATTTATCCACCACTACACTGCCAGCTCCTGTGTTCCTGGCACATAGTAGACATTTAACAAAAATTTCCACTGTTAAATAAACCAAGGAGAATTTTCACAGAAAAAAAATAGTTAGAATTTTATATTGCTTCATGTGGAATACTAGGGCACTTATTTCATTTGAAACAAGAAGCCATTAAAAAACATGAAATGTGTATCATTTCACCTACTACAATCCTTTAAAATAAGAATCTTGCTTGCCAAAGATAAGGGATACCTGCTAGTACACATGCTTTTAACTGCTTGCCTTTTTGCTGTTAGAGGGGAGAAAAATCTTGATGAGAACATAAAATGATGTAGTAATTTTGAAGTCTTTCGTTTTTGAAAGATTTAACTATATCCTGCCCCATGTATTTTTTTAATGATGTATTTACAAACATGCTCTCCTCACTTGGTGTTTAGCTTACCACTGTGCATTTTTCACAGGCTTTGTTGTCACCTGGGATTTTTTTTTTTTTCTCTGACAGGGCAGCATCTAGATGAGTGAGTGTGTATTGGATGTACATCCCTAGAGAGGGACCCTGGCCTTTCAGCAAACACTGCACTTCAGTGTGCACTGGGCCTTACTACCTGCCTGCTTTCATTCACATCTGCCTGCCTTCACAGCCCAGTGTGAACTTCCAGAATGAATACAACTTGGTCCATTTTTCTCTGGAAGCAGTTACTCTAATGAATGAAAAGTTTATATCACTTGTTGAACCAAGCAAAGTCCTTCTTCCCCCCCAAAAAGTTAAATTTTGGTCTGCCAGCTGGTTTTTAGAAATCCTCTAAGTGTCTCATGGTGAACACCCACAAAGTGCCAGCTCCTCGGGGTTTATTTTACTCTGTCCTGCCTAATGGGACTAAGTGTAAAAAGCTTATAACCTCAAATGTCACTGGAGAGGACACTAAGTATTGTAACGACCCTGCTAGATCTGCAGAAAGTAAGATGTTGTCTCTGTCCGCCTGAGATCACTATTTGTCCTCAGTCATCAGGGTGAGGCACCCTCTGAGCCCTTCTGAGAGGTATGCTCTCATGCACGCCTAGACATTGGCCCAGAGAATAATGGGAGTTTCCCTACTGGAATTTTAAGCACTGCATTTGTTTAGTTGCCTACAAAGATGAGTTACTTGGGAGAACTGCAGATGTGCTAAGTCCTCACTCTAAGAAGGGTTTATCCTTTATCTTGTCCTGTTGGCATGCTATATTCTAAGCCCTACTTTCCAAATGTTCCTTAATGATCCAGTTGTAAAATCAAAAGCATCAGTGATTAGAAGGTTTTCTTGGTTTCGTCATACCTTCTGTGATTGTTGGTGCAGGTAGACATTTTCAGGAGTCAACACCTGTTCTGTTAGACAAATTGTGTAATTCACTTGCCTTCTGAGATTTGGCTTCAGTCCATCTCACATCATAACAGTTTGCCTTACACAGAAGTTCTTTATTTAGGAAAGCCTCTGATAGAGAAGGCTGGAGTCCGAAGTTAAATAAACAGATACTTTGTAGTGGTAGGGACAAGGCTTGCTGGTGTTCTCCCAGACACCTAACATTTTTACTGTGAACACCCTATACCTTGTGTTCTAATTCATTTTTATTACTGTCACATAGTACCTGAGGCTGCATAACTTTATAAAGAGAAGTTTATTTAACTCACAGTTCTGAAAGTTCAAAGGCACCAATCTGGCTTCATTAAGGACCACATCGCAGGTGGCCCATGAGAGAAACGTTGCAAAGGGAAGCCAGAGCAGTTCAAGGGTTGGGCTTGCTCTTTGTAGAACTGTCTTCACTTTCTCTTTTCTTTTTTTTGGTTAGCGGGGACTGAACTCAGGTCCTTAAGCTTGCAAGGTGGGCGCAGCGCCCTTGAGCTACATTCCCCAGCCCTATCTTCACTTTTTCTGAAGGTATGCCCCAGTGACCTAAGGACCTACCACTAGGCCCCACCTCTTAACCTGCTTCACTGGGAACCAGGCTCCCAACATGAACCATAGGGAGAGCAAACCACAGCGTATGTGTAGTACAATCGCCATTCCACAGTGTGTGTCACACCCTAACACATCCCTCTGGTGTGGTTCACAGAAGAGAGTGCTGCACAACAGCCTAGACAGCTCACCAAGAAGGAGTTACAGTTCTGTGCTCTGTTTTGTTTTCCTTTTTGGCAGAGAAGTGTTGAGAGACACTATTGCTTCCACCCTGTCATTAGTGGGTGGGTAATGGTGATATAAAATAAGAGATGAATTAGGATAATAAGAGGCAAAGAAGAAAGGAGTAAGTTTTCCACAAGTAATATTTTTCTCTTCATGGTTATTTAACTTTGAAACAAAACTTGAAAGTAGTAATCATGGTTCTGCAGTAGACAAAGGACTGAATGTGGGAACCAGACAGGAAGGTGTGAGTGCCTTTATTACATTAACTGGAAACATAAGAAAAATTCACAACTTTCAGGAAGGAATACGCCACTGTTTCCATCATAGAAAAGGAAAAGTTACAGGTGGCTGTTGTTCTGCCTGTGCCTTTTTTCTCCCCCTTAACTATACCTTTTAACAAGTCTCTGCATCTTCTGCTTTTCTATGTTCGCTTCTTAAGTTTTTCTTTGGATCATTTTGTGCAGTGGATAGATAAGAAAACACCACCACCAGGCACAGAAAGACCTTTAAATAGATGTGCAGGTGTTTATGGCTTTCTCACTAACATTTACCTCCGCTGCTGTGTGCCCAGACAAACAAATGAGACCTATTTAAATTCATACCTTGATTCAGCCAGGGTGTAGTCACAGTGCCTGTCACCTACGTACTGGGGATGCAATGACGATGAAACAGACAAGGGAGATAAGAAACTAACCACACTCTGTGTTATAAATGCTCCAAATAAAAATATGGTGTAAGCTATATAAATGGGAAGTTGCTTTCTACTGTGATAAGTGGGGTCTCCCGGGAATTATAGTGGGACACTAGGGTAGTGTGTTAAGTGGGGGAGGAGAGGATGGTTCAGTCCTATTTTCATTTGAAGGTTATTTTGGTGGCTGTGTAGAGGTGGAATTGTAGAGGGCCCAGAATAAAAAGAAGCACATAAAGCACTGAAGTGGATCAGAAGATTCCTTTGCTTCCTAAACAAAATGGCTCTTTTAAAGGTTCTTTAAATGTCATGACACTCTGGTGTGGAAATAATAACTAGTATAGTATTCTATATTGTCTTTTTACCTGTGGGTAATTTTATAAGAGTCTGAGAAAGCTTTGATGATAAGGTGTTCTATCAGTTCACTCATAGTACTAACACTACTTCTATTAAGAAAGAAATCCCATTACATTTTGTCATCCACACACATATAATTGCTGTTGTATATTATTTTTCCCTGTTTATTCAGCTCCCACTGAACCATTATTGTGCAAGTTTGCAGATGGAGGACAGAAGAAAAGACAGAACCCAAACAAATACATCCCTAATGGAAGACCCTGGCACAGAGAAGGAGAGGTGAGACTTGTAAGTCCTTTCTTGAAATTTCAGTGTGGGTATGCTCTCAAAACCTCCCCTGAACAGTTGCACATCCTGCCTTGGCTTCTGAAATAGGTGCCGAGATTAAACCTTCTTCACATTGGTACGTTACGATTAAGGGATGTCAGACGGAAATCCTTTGCAGTGTATATGGCACTGAAGAGTGATGATTCTCCAGATGAACAGATAGTGGCTGGTCACTGCTATGTTTACCAGCTAGCAATGACTAGGGAAAAGGGTTCTAAAAGTATCTATCCAAATACATGAATATTTGGGGTTTTTGTTGGTTTGGTTTGGGGGTTTTTTGGTGTGTTTTTTTTTTTCGGTCCCGGGGTATTGAACTCAGGACCTTGCACTTTCAAGGCAGGTACAGCACCACTGAGCTAAAATGCCCGGGCCCTGTTTGGGTTATTCTTTATTGTCCTGGTTTATATATAACCTTTTAGAGAGGTTTACATTTATAACATTCAAAAAGTATTCTAAATAGCCTTATATAACTGTCATTGAGGGAGTTTTTAGGTTTTGGTGGTTTTTTTGTATGTTTTTAAATCTCATTCTTTTGTGTCATTTTTAACCTTCAGTCTTTTATAAAATATTGGTCCTCTACTTCTCTATATTTATTTCAGTAAATTATTTCATTAAAAATAAATAATGTTCAAAAAAGAAACACAAAAATTTGGCCAGGGATTTAGCTCAGCGGTTCGGTGGCCTGCCTTGCAAGCGCAAGGACCCGAGTTCAATCCCCAATACCAAAAAATAAATAAGTAAGTAAGTAACATTCAGATCCTAGGATTTCTTGAGAAAATGTTCTAGAATCTGTAATGTCCAATGATAACCACTAGCTACAAGTGGCCACCTAAGCAGTTGAAATGTAGCTATTCCCCTGGAGGGATTGAATTTTCTATTTAATTTTAGATAGCTACCTATGGCTAATGGCTACTATGCAGGACAGAATGGGCTTAGAGCTTAATTCTGTTACTGAGTTTATAATTATATTTGGCTAACAGAAACTCCCACTTTATCAAATGATACTGTCTTCTGCTACAGTGACTCTTAAAAAGTGGAGTTTTTGAATCACACCTTTCTAAATGAACATTTATGTTTTCTTCTCTTCTCTGTAGGCTGGTATGACACTCACTTATGACCCAACTACAGCTGCTATACAGAACGGGTATGTCGTTAACATAAACATATAGTGGCTTGAGGGAAAATGAAGGTGGAAAATATCAGACATTTGTTCCATGAATTATTCTATTTAAAGGATTACTTAATAAAGGCTTTTGTGTTTGTTCTAGATTTTATCCTTCACCATACAGTATTGCTACAAATCGAATGATCACTCAAACTTCTCTTACACCCTATATTGCATCTCCTGTATCTGCCTACCAGGTTTGTACCTTTAGGATTCATCTGCAGTGTAACAGCTTGTGCCCTGTGATTCTCTGCTGCATTTTCATGTCTTAAAACTCTGAACATTTATAACAAAATTTAAGTCAAATTTTATGCAGCTTGCATACCCAATTTAGAATAAGCTACTTTTTAATCTGGCAGAGTAATTTGCTTTTGTGTATTGAAAAATGTAAAGCCGGGAAAATGGTTGTCTCTTGTCATTCCTTAGAATCATAGCACTTCAGAATTCATGTGAACCTGCATATTTCCTCCACCGTAAGCTGTTTTTGGATACCATGTGTCCCCAAAATTAAAAATTCAGACAATTGAAGTTAGGCAAAATACAAAGTAGGTGTGTGCCTTTCCTGTTCTTATTCATTAGCAAGAACTGATCCAAGAACCAGTAAACTTGCTAGCACACAAAGGTATTTCTCTGTCAAGGGTCATTAAGTGAGCAATGATGAGATCGGCGCCCTGCCTCCCAAAAAAGGAAAAGGTAGGACCTTCCTGTTTGTGTTGTTTTATGAGGGGACTTTACCTTAAAAGAGATTTCCAACTGAGAAAGTTTCACAAAACTCATGTCCTTAACACTGGCCTCACCGTACGGCAAAGTGTGCTCCTTCTCTCCTTGTACCCAGAGGCCTGCACGAAGCTTTCCTCCTTTCCGTACCAGGCCCTCAGCCGGCCCACTGCCATGCCCCACCTGGGCATCAGGATGGAGTTCAGTTCCTGCCTGTGTTCACTTCTCTTCTGTTGACTGTTCGGATCCTGTGTGACTAAACTAAACTTGTGTATTCTTTTTAAAACAAATTGGATGCTGTAGTCCTAATTCCTAGGGTTATGGGACTACAATATCTAATCTACAAGCTGTGTTATTTAACTTCTAAAAGCCTCACTTACTTCCTCTTTAAAATGGGGATAATAATAGTTCCTATCTCATAAGCTTAAGAGAATTAAAAGAACTGAACAAGACTGACTACCTAAAGAGCTCTGCACAGAACCTGCCATATCATTTGAACTATAAGCTGTGGTTATTATCATCTTTAATAGCTGGCTGATAGTAAGGTATATTAATTGTACTTTTAAAATAATAGATTAGTCAATATAAGCCAATATTAAAGCTAGTTCTTCCTAAAGTAAAATAAATTGGGCCAGGGATTTAGCTCAGTGGTTCGGTGGCCTGCCTTGCAAGTGCAAGGACCCGAGTTCAATCCCTGGTACCAAAAAAAAAAAGTAAAAATAAATAACTGAATAATAGAAGTGATTAGATGTGCTAAAACTGAAGTTTTAGAGCAGTAGTTACCACCTTCCTTAACTTTTAAGTTCTAAGCCCCTTCCTTTGAATTGTCACTAAGTATTATTTCTTTATGCTCCCTGGGTTGTTATATTATTTATCCTGATGCTTTAATCTGGTAGGTGTAGTATTCACTCACTTAATGCTGCTTTAATTTTTTAAGACTTAAGATTCTATCATTTCCATGAGTCTGTAAGGCTCAATGAGATCTGCCCTAATAAACATTGCGTACATCTGATATTAAAAGGTAATCTTTAACTATTTGCACTTTGACATCTGCCATTTATGTATCACTAAAAGTAGGAGTTTCCTCTTAGAAAAATGAAAGATTGTGCATATTGATATCGATCTGTGTTGCTATAGCTGTTCCAGCTGCTGAAGCATCTCTTTACTACTTCTTCTTTAATATAAAAGCAATATGAATTTCAGAATAATTTCATAGAACAAAATATTGGAAGGCCAATGTTGGTAATTAGTTTGATATGGCTAGCTGGAAATAATGTATCATTTTGAAGATCTGGTTTCCTCTACTGGGCTTTCTGTATTGTTCTAAGACACGTGGAATTCCAATCCACTTGCCTGACACTCAGTGCCCTAGCCTCTCAGATAGATTCTTAACCCCATACATTCAGGGACCAGGTAGGATCAGTAGACACACTAGTTAAGTGATCTACAATCTACGATCCCCTTTAGCTGTTTGCAAAGTGGTGTGTGTGTGTGTGTGTGTGTGTGTGCGTGCACACGTGCGCGTGTTTATATACATGCACAAGAGCAATTAGTTGAGAATCAGGAGAGTCTACTTCTTTCATCAGGTTTTCTGAGGGCTCCATGATTCAGAAGAGGTTAAGAAACATGGGTAGAGAGTTCATTGATCATAGATTATTATTCCCATTTTATAATTAGGGAACATTGAGGAATAGAAATTGACAGCAGCTGATTTGCTACTTAAGAAAGAAAATTGGATTAGATGTCATAGTTCCCTAACCCCATAATGCTATAAGCAATTAGTTTAAGACTACTGGAGCATAAATAAAATGGGCATCTGGCCCAAACTGAGGGCCATAAGGAACTGCTTGCCTTCCCATAATTTATCATGTAAGGGCTCTACACTCTGTGGAATGGGCCTTTCTCCACTAAACCGCCATATGCTGGGCATTTGGATTTGAGAAACTGGCTTCTGCAGAAAACCACCAGTATCCCAATGGGGAAAGGCTGCAGTCCAGATAACTGAAATGTTGACAAGGCAGAAGCACTTAACTTTGGTCTGCCTTAGGTGGCAAAGGAACCCAGAGAAAGCAAGTATCGGGGCTCTGCTATCAAGGTAAATCACAATGCATTCTTCCCCCATGACTCTTCCCATATCTTGTCTGTAGCATCTCTAAAGTTAACACTGGGAGATAGGCTACAGAAGGGTTGTATTGCTAAGAATTGGAAACTGAAATTTATTTTTAAATTACATAGACTCTGGAAAGCCCTGGGCATCAAGAAATGGACAGGTGGGCTCTTACCTTAAGTGGCAGACCACATGTGCTTTCCTGCCACAACGCCTGCCCCTTACCTTTTATATCTCAGTTCAGAGGGTGCACTGTGTAGATGCCCTTTTAATTGTAGATGGCAGGAAATAGTTACTGAAGTTCAATTTTCCATGTCTGGATTTCTAATATGTTTTTCCACACTGACTAGAAATGGTTGACCACCATACAAGACTTCTGAAACCTGATGTCCTGGGTATCAAAATAAGCTGAATTTGCTTATTCTTATTAAATAACCCCATACTGTGTAAAGGTTAGTTTCTTGTAAGATATGCTGGAATTAATCTTCATTCATCCATATGCTGAAAGCAGCCAGTTCATACCTTAACACTCTTCACTAATTTGTTTGAGTTATTTAAATTTATTGAAAGTGAGGCCCATATCTTGTTCACCTTTTTCTCTTCTGTGCCTGATACTCAGTAAATACTGCTTATGTGGGTAAATAGAAATTGGTTCTAAATAATCATTTCATCCCATTCAGAGTGACCAGCTTGCCAAGAACTCTTAACTGCCTTAATCTGTGTAATCATTGATAGTATTGTTTCTTTACTTTCCTTCTGTAGATTTTTTTAACATGATTAAAAAGAATTTTAGAGAGCTAGGTAATTATTACAATGAAAATCAATGTTTCTTTCAAAACCCTCCTTTTGCTAGGTGCAAAGTCCTTCCTGGATGCAACCTCAACCATACATCCTACAGCACCCTGTAAGTTTTTTATCTTAGTGGCCTTGTGTTTTACAAGAAAGCTGTCTGTGCTTCAAACCATTCCCAAAAGTGATGCAGGACTTGATAAATTTTAAACATGGAAGATGAAAATCTATAAGTTCATTGTAAAATATCTGTGTACTTTTGCCTTAAGACACATTAATAGTGGACAATAAATTTTCTGTAAGAATTTAAAATATGTTCTACATGAGAGAAGATATTGTTTTCTTACACGGTCCAGCTCAGTGGGAGATCCTTCAGTTGAGGAGCTAATTTTTTTTTACAATACTCCTAAATTGTTTAATGCAGACATAAAGTTCAAAATAAAGGAGGATATTTTGATCAGTGGTAGTCTGTTTACTAAATAATAAATATGATTTCTTAAGTAACTTAAATGATTGTTCTAATGTGTGTACATTATATACATTAAAAATGAGCTTTATGCACGTTACATAAATATTAATGTGTTTTTTAAAGATACACAAAATCCAGTTTATTGAAGCAAAACAGGCTTAGAAAGTAGAAAAATAAGGGTAGAGAACACAATCATAAACAAGGCTAAGAATGATCACAGTGACCTGCACATTTGGCACGAGAAGGTGACAGATTTGAAGCTAAGCTTTCTAGGAATCATTGCAAAATAGGAATCCTGAAAAACAAGACAGTTCACAGTATTTATAAGATAAAAATGGATCAGCTGCTTAGGAAAAGAACTAGACTGTTGACCTTAAGATGAGTCGGGAATTTGTCCCAGGATCCCTCCTACAGTGGACACTGTAATTTACAGTGAGGTGGTTGTGAAGCAGAAGTCCAGGGATAACAGGTCTGAACAAGACATACTGAGATGACCTTTGACCAAAAAAATCAAATAAACAGGGTTAGGTGATAACACAGAAGAGCTCTCTGTGATATATGGGTGTCTCTGCATTGTGTGATGTACATATATTTATATTTGTGTGTACACCCACAGATCCACACATGTATATGTAACACATGCCCACTAACCCATACGTAACTTGTGTTTCTGGGATAGCTCCTCCTGCTGGGCTGGACTGCTTTACAGTTAGGGAAAGGATGAGCTTAACAACACATGACTTCTGTGAAGTGTTTGCCAAAATACCATTTCCCCTACCCTCATAGAAATTCTCAGGAAAAGCAATCTAGATTTGAGGCAATTGTTTATGATACCACCTGCACATTTTAGGGAGGTTGTTTTTGCTTAATATTCCTCAACAAAGGGATTTCCTTTGCAAAAAGTGATTTTCAGAATCTTAACTCTCCCTCGGTTTGTCTCACACTGTTTGTGCCTTGTCTCTCCAGGGTGCCGTGCTAACTCCCTCGATGGAGCACACCATGTCACTACAGCCCGCGTCCATGATCAGCCCTCTGGCCCAGCAGATGAGTCATCTTTCACTAGGCAGCACCGGAACAGTAGGTGGCACCTTAATATCATGTGCCTCCACAAATAAATTAATGCAGCCTGTGTCTTCCCAGTCCAGTCACAGGCTCTCAGAAGACAAGATTGGTCTGATCTTCTCTCATTGCCACCCCACATTGCTTTCTACAGAGTAGTACTGTTATTTCTTGATTAACTGAAGAGCTGAAAGTCTATTCCGTGGGTTTCTGTCTTTTGTCAAAAAACAGCACTCACGGCCTCGTCTCACTTTTAAAACCAGTGTCCTGAAGCTCTGATCTCATGAAGCAAAAGATGAAGATGATAAATGGTGTTGAAGGCAGGAAATGTTTTCCCAGTTCTTTTATGGAATTTAGGAAAACTCAATCATGACTCCTATAGTGACTTATTTCTCCAGAGTCCATGGGACTCATTTGGGTAATGAGGTTGAGCTGTATGAGATCAGCTTCCAGGTCGGTATATGTTGAGTTTATATCATAAGAGATGGCTAAAGGCATGTGCTTCAGCTTGTATCTGTGGTGGCTTAAAAGATCAAAAGATGACATGTTTTCCCTTCTTACACTCAAAACCAGCCACTACTTCTTGTGAAGGCTAAGCCACAGCCACACACACAGTCCTGAGACTAACAATTCTTTCTGCCTCTGGGAGATGGTGACTGTTGGCATCAGGAAAGCTATGCTCCTGGGCCCAGTCTACAGGGATCTGTTAAAGGTCTGTAAGTCATCCACACCTTGGTTTCCATCTAAAGAAACAGTTGCACCTACCACTTTGGGAAGCTCCTAGAAAATGACAAACTTTTCTAAAATAATTTTAGTGACATTAAATTATTGAGAATGAGAAACTAACGATTTTACCTGTAATGCTTCTTTGTTAGGAAATCCAAAGAAACATCTGGTTTTTTGTTTGTTTGTTTGTTTGACAAATTCAAGAAGTTAAAAATACTGACTTTGCTTCCCTGTGCTTACTAAAGCACTAACTAATCTTTGAGAGTAGTCCATTTAAATTTCTTTTTTGAGACGTCCAAATACTTTATATCCATCTCAGCATTCCCCAGCTACTCTGAATTTTGCGTGGTTTACCATGGCCCATCCTGACCTTACTCTCCCTTTCAGTACATGCCTGCCACATCAGCTATGCAAGGAGCCTACCTGCCACAGTACACACACATGCAGACGACGGCCGTTCCTGTTGAGGTGGGTGCAGACCATCCAGTGGGTAGCTTCTGAAATGAGTGAATAAAGTAGAATTCAAAGTAAAATGTATCAAAACATCAAACATTTGCATAAAGAATGCATAAGATTCTAATAAGATTACTGACATTTAGAAATGGGAAGAAAGGAGCTAAAGGTGTAGGGAAGGTGGGATGGGTAGGGGAAGAGTAAAAAGGGAAAAGAAAAAAATGTGAGAGAATGAAAAGATGAAAATAAAGTGTTTGTAGATGGGGAGGGGAGGAGGGGGTGAAGGGAGGGCAGAGGTAAGGGGAAAAAATGAGAATCAAGACTTGTCATGTAGAGGTACAAGATCCCAACAATGAATGTAACTGTACTGTATCCCTAAAATGTACCAATAAACTCAATTAAAGCTGGAAAAAAAAAATTGACTTTAGTAGGAGTGTATTCCTGGAGTGCTGTTTTGAACTATAAAATAGAGTTACCTCAATAAAAAATAGGATAACAACATCCAGGCTACATCTCCAAGAGTCCCAGAAATGTTTTTTAAGTTTGTCTTGTATTTCTTACCCCTTCAAAGCTTTGACTTTTTACCGCCTATGTGATACTTAGAGAAACATTAAGATAAAATTGAAGTTTATGATCCTAATACCAAAGATTCTGTCAGTAATCATAGTGATTGAAAAATCAGAATTCCTGTACCTAATGAAAAAGAAAAGCTGATATTTCAGAATTGTAACACATAGAATACAGCTATAACAGATAAAGAAAGGCTGCTTGTTCCGGGGATTTAGCTCAGTGGTTTGGTGGCCCACCTTGCAAGCGCAAAGACCCGAGTTCAATCCCCGGTACCCCAAAAAAAAAAAAAGGCTACTTGTTTTATAGGGATGGGTGCTAGTGTAAATAATTCTTAGTTCTTATTAAAAAGATATTGGTATGGAAGATTCTGACATTGAATTATTACTGCTCAGGAGGCATAGCATTTTCCTGCAGAGTACCCTTAAAATTCCAAGGAAATTCATCAGTTGATTTTTATCCACTAGACATATCTCAGTGGTTCCATTTTCAAGAAAGGCCATAGAACTGACTTGTTCCTATCATTTGCTTCTGATTATGCAATTATAGACATCCACAGTTACCAGAGCTCATATTCCTTATGTGCAATTCTGAAACTTTTTCAAAAAGATTGAAATAAAAATTCTCTTTGTAATACTTTAGCAAAAATCCTGGCCTATGGCAAAACCCAGCTTGAACTATGACAAGACAAAATCTTTATCCCACATACTGAGTTTATTCATGCCTTTCAGTCTAGAGCTGTTGGTATGTTTGACTATGAGGTTCAGGCCTAGATGATATTGGTGGTACTTGTACGATACACAGCTCGTGCATACTACATCTCAGATCCTAAAGTCTGAAAATACTGAATTCCAAATCACATCTGACCTCAGGGAGTAACATTAAAAAATTTGTTGGATAAATTGTAGCTTGATAAAAAATAGGCAAGTCAGACATTTAGGTGAGAGATTTTGGGGGGCCTGTCAGGCAGACATTTTAGCCACTTAGTGGAATTACTGAACTCAGAAGCTCTGAGCATGAGATTAAGAAATTTACCTTAAACAGTGCTTGTGTTTAACATCTGTGCTCTTGAACAAATTCAAGTGTTAAGAAGCAGAGTTGGGATTTCATTGCTAATATGTCTTATCTGTTCTGTTTTGTTGTAGGAGGCAAGTGGTCAGCAGCAAGTGGCTGTAGAGACGTCTAATGACCATTCTCCATATACCTTCCAACCCAATAAGTAACTGTGAGGTATGAGAGGAAGGTCTCCACAGCAGTGGGCTCAAATCATGTAAAAAAATCTATAGTTCTCTCATCAAAATGATGCTTAGAGTAATTTAGGTTTGATCACTGCTTTAATAATGGCCAAGTCATCCAATTTTATTGAAATGCTAAAATCAGTGACTTTGTGAATTTGCAGATTCATTGTTCTATCCAAAAAGAACTGCCTTCTTCAAACATTTAGCTCTTTTACACAAGAAAGAGGTTGCAAGGCTCTGTGGTGTATATACTCAATCTGCAAAAGCATTCCTCTTTTATCTTTCTCTTCCAGATGTACAGAAGGGTGTTCTTACGTGAAGAATGGTGTGAAAGCTGAACAATCATGGATTTTTCTGATCAATTGTGCTTTAGGAAATTGACAGTTTTGCACAGGTTCTTGAAAACGTTATTTATAATGAAATCAACTAAAACTATTTTTGCTATAAGTTCTATAAGGTGCATAAAACCCTTAAATTCATCTAGTAGCTGTTCCCCTGAACAGGTTTATTTTAGTAAAAAACAAAAACAAAAATAAAAAAAAACAACAAAAAACAAAAAGATTTTTATCAAATGTTATGATGCAAAAAAAAAAAAAAGAAAAAAAAAAGGAAAAGAAGACTTCAATTTTCTGGGTATGCACAAAGACCATTGAAGACTTATCCAAGTGCATGACCGGATTTTTGTGGTTTTGTTCATTTTGTGTTTAATTTGTATTTTTTTCAGCTGTACGAAATGGGCTTTTTGACGTTTAAATCGTCCAACTTCACCCATGGTGTTCTGTGCTTGCCGTGCGAGTGTTGCTGTAACTCAGTGTTGCCGTCGATGTCTTTTCTTAGCTTTCTGTTTTTCTTTCAATGTAGTGTGAAGTGTCTTATCCTTTTCTATGAATTCCAATTTGCCTTAACTCTTTTGATGCTGTAGCTGTTTCAGTAAAAGTTAGTTCAAACTAATGGTGTAGAATGCTTTGACCAATGAGCTGGTCTATTATGCCTTGTAAAACAGCAGCATAGGGCTTTTAAAAGGTAGTCAATAAAAGTTGCTGACATTTTGGCTTTTTTAAATATGTAGTAGGTGTTTTTAATGATTTTTCACATAATGTGTAAGGTAGTGAAATGCAAGAAGGGAAAAATGTTTTGTGTGAAACACATTTTCTGACTGGGGAACTTTTAATAGGGTAAATTGTTTGTAAGGCTGTATGCCAACAGTTTCCTCTGATAGTTTGACTGATTTAGGATATCTGCTGTATGATGCAATGTAAAGTCTTTTTTGCCTTTTTTCAGGAAAAAAAACTAACTTGATGTTCTAGATTTAGTGTAGGTAGCGTGGGGGCGGGGGCGGGGGAGGGGGAGGGGAGTCATCGAATGTTTTGTCCTTCCTTTATACTAATGATAGTGCTTTAGGATGAGAATCATGCCTGCGACCTGGCAAACGGAAAAAAATGTTGCTAGTGCAACAAAATGGCAAAAGCTAAAAGTAAGGATTTCTCTTCAGACATAAGCTGAGATAAGAATAGAAATAAAATGATTGGCTACTAGCTCACTCTCTCTCTCTCCCTCTCCCCTCTTCCTTTTCTCTCTCTCTCCTCTCTCCTGTCTCTCTCTCCCTCCCTCCCTCTCTCTCTCTCACTATCTCTCTCTCCCCCTCTCCCTCCCTCTCCCTATTAGGTAAATTTGAAAAATAAAAATGACTTGGCACTTTTAAAGGTAACTTCACCAAAGACCGAAGAGCCAGTAACCAGTAGCTCCAACTTGTCTCAGCATCACATCTTCTGTGCTCTTTATTTTTGCCGGACCAGTTTGCGGTTAGGAGAATGTGCCTTTTTTGTACCTTTGCATTTAGGTTTTATAATTTTAATTGATGTATGGACACACACAAACAAACAAAAAAGCATGAAGGAAGATTTGGATCCAAGCAGTGCCACACTTTACGTCATCACTACAAGTGTTCGAGTGTAAAGAAAATCAATTTTGAAACTATGAAATTCCTGATTCATAAATACACAGTTATTTCTACTTTAGTACATAAGAGATAATTCACTGTTAAAGCTCTTTTATTAAGGCAATTGCATACGTTTTAAAAGCAATGGTAAATTAAGTTGTCTTCCAAAACTGTGTACTTGTCTGGTCAGCTGTGTATGATCAGTTATCTACCTCAGAGTCTATTTTCTTTTGTGCTGGGACAGGTTGCTGGCCCTCCCTGTTTCCACAGACCAAATCCTCCTAGCTCAGGAGCTAGGGCTAAGCAGTTGTTTCTTTTGAGTATTTTTTAGTTCTTAAATTTTATTGCTTGTATTTGATTATAGATGTCAGTGACATTTCATAGTTTCAAAAGTCCTTGCTGCTCTGAGAAGTGTAGAATCTAGTGAAAATTGCATAGTCATAAGAGAAATGTGTTGTTTTGTTTTTGTTTCCTTTTTTTTAAAGTTGTGGTATTATTGGTTCTATGCTCCCTGAAATATTACTGCTTTGTGAAAGTCCAGACTGAACGCAGCACCCTCTGTGTACCTAGTATGTTTATAAACCTGGGTATCTCACTACTTGATATTTTTGCATTAGTTAAGACAGAAATTTGATAGCTCAGTTAGAGGGGAGGGGAAATCTGCTGCTAGAAATGTCTGAACTAAGTGCCATACTCGTCTGGGTAAGATTTGGGAAACATAACCTCTGTACATAAAAAAGAAAATCAGTTAAACATCACATAGTAGACAGCCATTAAATTATAAAAAAAATTAATTTATGAAGAAAGACCTTTTGTACAGATTGAAAAAAAGATTTTCATAGAGATATCTATATGATCAAGAGAGTTAATTTTTTATTTTTGTTTTACTAGTGCCACAAACTTGCCAGTGGTAACTTATTTGTCCGGTTCAAGATAACTCTGTAGTTTTCTTTCCTAGGACTTGTTGTTAAACGCCAAAAGACACTTTTGAACTGTACATTTGATCAGATTGTTAGCTTTTTCTGTTTTATTTCTTTTGAGAACCTTTGAATAAAAAACTCTGAAACTTTTTTCTTCCTGTTGTTTTTATTTTTAAGTAGGTTAAATATATGTATATCAGAATTCCATTTCACTTCTTATCTTTCTTCAGCTCAATAGATTTAGAAGTGAGTTGAAAATTACATCAAATTCAGTATGTTCTCAAAATACATTTTCTTGAAAAGAATTGGGAAAACCTTACCACACTCTTCTTGATGGTTATTTAAATCTATGTAGTAGATCAAAGATGTCATCAACACACCACACCTCGTCTTAGGAAAAGTCCAGCCCCAAATGCCCAACTGTTTTTGTTTTTATGGTGCTGGGGATCAAACCCAGAGCTTCTTGCATGCTAGGCAAGTGCTGTACCACTGAGCTGCACTCTCAGCCCTATTGTTCTGTTCTTTGTTTTGGGTGTTTCTTTGGTACCGGGGATCGAACCCAGGACCTTGCGCTTGCAAGGCAGGTACAGTGCCACTGAGCTAAATACCTGGCCTCTGTTGTTCTTTTCTGAAAGACCAAAGAATTGGATCCCTTTTGTTTTTTGCTTGCTGCTACCCTTTTGAGTGTTTCATTGCTTAGGAGGATGGAATAAAAACTCTCCCACCTGCATAAGCAAGCAAATGAGTAAGGACATCAGAAGACCTTATTCAAGCCTTTCTGACCAAGGCCTCTTTTAAAGTGACCTTGTCTGGCTGTTCTCAGTAGGAGGCTCCCACTCCCATACAGCATTTGCTTTCTGCTAGTCAGGGGGCTCTGTCATGGTGGTAAAAGGACTAGAAAAAAAAAATCCACTCCCTTCATGTCTGTGAGCCTCCCTGCAGTGTAGTGCCACGACTTAAACAATGTGAGTTAGGGAATGAGACTTAGACAAGGACGAATTAGAGAATTTCACTTGCCAGAGCCAATAAATCCCTGGCACTTGGTGGCTGTTTGAGAAGAGGAAGTATGTACCTCTGATACTAGGCAGTGCTTCTGGGAGAAATGTCAGGGCACAAGAAGCAGAGTTGCTTTGAGACAGGCAAAGCTGCTAAGAATGTAAGCTGTGACCTCATTTTGTGAGCCACACATGTAAGTGCTCTTCATGTGACTAACAACCATTGTGGCGGGGAGCATTATTTAGACTACTAGATAGGTTTTGTTAGCCTTATTTTTGTTCTGGTATCTTAAGAAAGCTCAGTGTCAGAAGTCCCAGTTATATCCATCTGGCTGCATTATAAAGTTGTCCCCTGATATGGATAGGACTGGTTCTGCAGATTCCTGCAGATAGCAAGGTCTGCTTGTGCTCAAGTTTCTTTTATAAAATAGCATAGTGTTTGCATATATCCTACTACTCCTGTATGCTTTGAGTCATCTCTAGATTATTTACCAATACAATGTAAATGCTATATAAATAGTAGTTCACTATTCCATGGGAAATAATCAGAAGAAGTCTGTACATGTTCGGTGCAGATGCATTTTTTCCCAAATGTTTTCCACCAGAGATTGATTCAATCCACTGACACAAAACGCAGATCGCCAACCCTAAACAAAAATTAATAAACACTCTTAGGACCAAGTCTTATGTGTAAAAGATCAAACCAGAGTGATGTTAGTTCAGAGAAAGTGATGGCTCATGTCTACCAAGAGGTGACACATTTGCATAAAAGCCACAGTTTGCTATGAGGCTGTGTCTCTGATAGGTTTCTGGGTGCCAAGATTCTCTATGGTTTGAGAAAGTGGGAAGGTGAGACTGAGGCAGCTCCTCACTTGTGTGAGATTTCTCCCTCTTGAACAGCTGGGACAAAGTGGAAGGATGCGGGGAGCCACCTTGCCACACTGGTATCTGTGCTGTCCATGGGCAGTGTCATTAGGTATATACACGAGTCTGAATTCCACCTCTGAACTCCAAACCTGATTAAAAATTCACTGGAAGGAAGGGGATGCTGCCCCCCCATCTTTGCTGGGGAAATACTAAGATCTGACTGATGATAGCCTCATTCCACTGGGAAAGCCAAAAAGGAAGAGATCTAGTAACAGGTCGTCATCATGTCAAAACCTCCATCCCTTTCCAAAAAAAGCCTGAGAAGGCATTAAGCAGGTGAGGAAGGGAGGATAACTCGGAGCTCCAGTTTTTAAGGCTTGCTGGGCAGTTTCTTCCCCTCAAACAGCAATGTGATGAGATAAGCACTGAGGGCCAGGGCTGGGAACAGACTGGGCATTGCGGTGGCAGTCACATGCGTGGTGGTGGGGCGCTCTTGGCACAGCTGGAGGCGTCCTGCTGCGTGGCCTTCGTGTGGGATCAACTGTGTGCATGACGGAATTTCAGTTCTCTGAAATGGCTCCAGAGAGTCTCGTCCATACAGGTTCTGGATCTCTGTGTGGCAAAAAAATGTTTGAGTTTGAGCCACTAGAGGGAGGATTTTACCCTTCAGCCTTCTGTAAGAGTCAAAGCACAGACACCATCACAGTTGCCACTGCTGGCAGGCACCCTCATGAGCACCACTGCTCAGGAGTGAATATTAAGGCTCAAGCTGAAGGCAGGGAGGAAGCCACAGTGCTTGCCAGCCATGTGATGAGCAAGAAAGTCCTGGCATGTCTCTGAGCTGCTCAGAATTGAAAGCAGGTGACTGAACTGAATACAAATACTAATGCTATTTTACCAAAACTTGTGACTTCTCAGAGGCTAAGATTTTATCTAGATCATTCCATATCTCATACAAGTCCCAGATCATTAAGGAGACTGCAAGTATCTCCTACCCTCTGATATCCGTGAAGCCACGTGCCCTGCTTGAACCTCACTGGCACTGCACCTCGCAGAGCATCCTTTATCTTTTTGGAACTGCACTTGAATTTGTTTACCAAGTCAACATTGTGTCACTGTAACTTGTTCGAGCCAGCTTTGGGCCTGCCAAGTGAGATACTGCAGAATAAGCCAGTCATTCTTAAAATGTGGAAATGTGAGTCCAGGGCTCTGCTCTTTTTGGGTTAGGCATTCCCCCTGGGTTTAACTCCTCCTCCTCAGATCTGGCTCCACATTCCACGCCATCAGCTCACCTTCCAGATGTACCACAGGAGGTTCCGCATAATGGAACCCAGGAACCACCTGGGACTTTACCTCACTTCCCTGCACTACCTGATCCTCTGTTATCATCATTATGATTATTAGGAGAAATAGTTTCCCGTCTGACTTCTCAGACTTCCCGAGATTCTTAAAACTGGAAACCAATAAAAATTCCTATGTTGCTTTATATTTTAAATCATAATAATTATGAAGGTATATAAGGAAATATGGTCATTATATATGACATGAAAAATGCTTAAGGTATAAGATGGAAAATGTTAGGTACAGAACTAGACAGTTTTATCCTGAAATAATA